TGTTGTTGTTGTTGTTGTTGTTAGCAGCACGTGCGTCTGCCGCCGCGTGGGGTGGCGCAAATTCGGAGCAGGCATGTGCTACAACTAGAGGTTTGGCACATTGGCGCACCTACAAAAACTTTGGGTTTTTCTTTCGCCTCGGTTGTTTACGGTGGTTTCGTCCAAAATGGGCGACAAATCCGAGATGCACTGTGCAAAAAATATATCAGCTATCCCTTTTGCACCGTTTTTTCCGATGTTTCCATCTACGTTGCGCATTTCGCATCTTTTTTTCTGGTGTTTTCCTAATTTCCTGTCTGCACTGTGCCGAGACTCGATTTTTCGCACTTGCCTGCTTGGACTTCCATGTGTATTTGAGCTGCGTGCAAAATTGGGGAGGGGGGGATGATGACGTCCACGCGAACGCGGATTGTTGTGTTGTCTTTCTGTTGTCCTGCCTTGGTGGGGATGGGGGTGGGATGATGACGTCCATGCGAATGCGGTTTGTTCTGTTGTCTTTCTGTTGTTGTGCCTTGGTGGGGATGGGGGGCATGGGGGGTGGGATGATGACGTCCATGCGAATGCGGTTTGTTCTGTTGTCTTTCTGTTGTTGTGCCTTGGTGGGCATGGGGAGGGGATAATGACGTCCATGCGAATGCGGTTTGTTCTATTGTGTTTCTGTTGTTCTGCCTTGGCGGGGACGAGAGGGGGGGGGATGGGGTGGGGGGGGATGATAACGTCCGTGCGACTGCGGTTTGTTCTGTAGGCCACCCAGAAGTTAAGAAGCGAAAATACGGCTGCTCACTGTACAAATGACGCTGATTCTGATGTTGATGCTGTTCATGTGCTGTTATCGTTGCATATGTTGACTGTTACTGCCGCAGAGAAGAATGCCGATGACAATAATAAGCTGATAACATTGATGACCATGCAAATGACAATGTTGCTACCTGACTGAAATGCCACCAGTTGCTCACTGTTGCCCTCGTCGATAGCTTACTGTTGAAACGCCAACCATGGAAAAAAAACTCGCGGTTTTGTCCTTTCCATACAAAAACCTTTCAACATGAACACAAAAATCAAGCACCAGAAACAGCGAAAACAACGGTATTTGTGACACTTTCGCAAAAACCTAAGGAAATCTCCAAGACAAAGATCTTGGACAAATACATGCTCCCAAACAACCTCCTGTTCACGCAAACGACACACCCCGCGCGGCGGCAAACGCACCTGCTGCCTTGTTGCTGTTGCTGTTGCTGCTGTTGTTGTTGTTGTTGTTGTTGTTGTTGTTGTTTTTGTTGTTGTTGTTGTTGTTATTGTTGTTCTTCTTGTTGTTGTTGTTGTCAAAGTTGTTGCCAAAATTGCTAGTCAATGGTGGTGTCAGTTGGTGATATTGATGTCAATGTTGTTGGTGGTGGCGGTGGCGGTGGCGTGGCGGTGGTGTTGCTGTTGCTGTTGCTGTTGCTGTTGCTGTTGCTGTTGTTGTTGTTGGCGTTGCTGTTGCTGTTGCTGTTGCTGTTGCTGTTGCTGTTGCTGTTGCTGTTGCTGTTGCTGTTGCTGTTGCTGTTGTCGTTGTTGTTGTTGTTGGCGTTGTTGTTGTTGTTGTTGGCGTTGTTGTCGCTGGTATATTGTTCTTACTATCTATCTTACTGTCATTGTTGATGTCATTTTCTCGCTGATGTTGTTATTGTTGTGGTTGTGGTTGTGGTTGTGGTTGTGGTTGTGGCAGTAGTTGTCGTTATTGTTGTGGTTGTTGTTGTTGTTGTTGTTGTTGTGGTTGTTGTGGTTGTTGCTGTTGTTGTCGTCGTTGTTGAGCCTCTCGGCTCAGGCGAGGTCAGGCTTGTACAGTCCGCCGTTTCCTCGCTCGCCATGGCAGTTGCTGCCAGTGCCTGAGCTTCCCCCGGTCCCAATTCCGGGGGGGAGTCTCTAACCGTACACAGACACATGGTCACTCCCAGAGGAGAGGGTTGTCGGCCAGCGAAGCCGGCGGAAGTCTTGCTCAACATGAAAAAGGCGAAACAGCACAGCGACTTGACCATACAAAGATCCCCGCATCCCAAAGGGAAGGGCAAAAGATCATATCAGAGTGCTCGTCGTCAAGCTGATAAGAACGGCTGCACCATGTACAAAGGGAAGCAAATGACGTATGCGGAGCTTGGGGGTACTGCGGCTCCGCATCAGCCTGAAAACCAAAGATCGGGAAAGAAGCTTCTAAGCTATCAATAGGACACGGCGATCGAATATCTCTCCTGGAACGCAGGTTCTTTGACAACAACAGTTTGGGAAGAGTTGCTCTCCCTTCTAGAGACAGAAAACTTTGCTGCAATCAAGGTAGTCTTGATGCAAGAGACTCACTAGAGAGGCAGCTGGCAGTTCAGCAAGGGCCCCTGGCACGTGATCAGCTCGGGCTCACATGAAGAAAAAGGAGCGGGTGTCTTGGTCATGGTTCACAAGTCAATGTGTCAGGCCAAACATCAAAGATTCAGCGAGATTCTTCCAGGTCGCCTCCTGCATGTTCGCATTCCTGGAGAAGCATCATCGCTAGATGCGATCTCCTTCTACCAGTATGTGTGGCGGTCCAAGGAAACAGTTGCGCAGAATAAGAAACAGCGACAGGGGGCCTTGAAAGAGGCTTGACCAGATGCTGAGCTCTCTCCCGCAACGGAACACCCTCCTGGTAGCTGGGGACTTTAATATGCCTCTTCGGACGGATCGCGGCTCCAAGGACCTGCAGAGGGTACTGGAGCAGCACCAGCTGGTAGCGGCCAATACTTGATCGGTGCGCGAACAAGCCACTCATGTGCAGGGAAACTCCGTTAGCCAAATTGATTTTGCGCTGCTTCGGTCCTCGCAGTCGCAGGGCCCAGGGAAGAGTTGCTCTCCCGACCGGAAGTTTGCGGTCGCTCAGTGGCGTGAAGGGAGCAGGCATTTACTGCTTTGAGGCAAGGTCATACATGGCCGGAGGTACTCCGCCGTAGTAGCGAAGCCTTATGACCAGCAGCTTATGCAGGACTGCTACAGGTCTCCGGACCCAAGCATAGTGCACTTTGCTGCTCAAGTTGATGCTCACCTCACCCATCTGCCGCCTACCTGGGATGGTCTCCGAGGCCATCGACAAGGCCCTGGTGGAGCAATTTCCCAAGCAGAGAGCGGCGAGGAGCACTCCCAGAACTGCGAGTTATACGAAATCTGCCCACAACCCTACTTGCGCTCGCCGATCTTCACAAACTCAGGGTCATTTGGGCTAACTGGAGCTCCATTGCCCAGCAGAGGGGCAGTAAGACAGGCAAAGCAGGGCAAACGCCCGGAGAGGCAAACCCAGATTGATGAGCCGCTGTTTCTGGCTGAGAGCAAGGCTCATCAAGACGGCACGCACGCTCTCTTCAAGGTCACCAGGTCGTTCAAGCGAGGTCGCCCCCCTGAGAGGGTGCAGCTTCGTGATTCTCAAGGCCGCTTCCTGACACCAGCAGAGGAAAAACGAGAGCTGGAGCAGTACTCCCGGGATCTGTTTGGCACTGGCGAAGACTTCCGGCTGAGCGGGGAAGTTGGAGACTGGAGACTTGCACATCCGCAAGTAGAAGTGCAAACTCAGCTCAACTCTATCAAAGTTCGGAAAGCAGTACCCAAAGACTGCCCACCAGTAGTAGCCTGGAGATCGTTGAGCCAGAACACAATGCAACTCATAGCGGATCTCCTGAATGCTGACACGCGAAGGACAACCCTGGACCCTAAGATAACCTCGTCCTGCATCTCCTGGCTGCCCAAGCCACCAAGGAAGCCGGACACACCTTCATCGCTACGGCCGATTGGGGTCATTGCCCCAGAGGGCAAATAAGTTCTGGCCGGGCTTCTGCGGCAGCGCTTGAAGTCTACCCTGCAACAGGCCACCGCGGAGGTCACACAGTTTGGGTTTAATCCGAGGACGCGGCACCGAAGAGGCGATCAGCAAAGCACTGACCCACTTCGATGAGGCCAGACTACGCTCCCAGCGATTTCAGAGCACAGCCGGTCTTGGCCACCGCGGGGTCAAGCTGAAGGGCAGCCTGACCTTCAGCGTTGACATGAGCAAAGCCTTCGACAAGGTGGACAGAAGACGACTACGGGAGGCGCTGGAAGCTCCGCTCGCAGACCCTTTGCTGATAGATTTAGTAAGGAAGCTGCACATCCAGGCACTGTATGAAATGACAGCCAACGACCTTTCCTTCAGCATGGCCACCAAAAGGGGGATCAAGCAAGGCTGTAAGCTCGCGCCATCCCTGTTCGCATTCGCCACGTGCCTCCTCTTTAACAGGATGTCAGCGCACTGCGACCCCTAGCGTCTAGCGCAGCTCCTCGCAATGTACGCAGATGACAGTCTGCTTCAGGTACACTATGAGGACACCGAGGGCCTACAGGACGGCCTACAGTTGTGCGATGCCCTGCTAGATGAGCTGGTGGCGATGGGTTTTAAGGTTAATCCTGCCAAGTCGGCGATGCAGCACAGCGGACCCGAGAACAACTGACGGTCAAGAAAGACGGAGCTAAGTACATTCAGCTCCCGTCAGGACGCCTCATGTCAGCCAAGAAACACCTGCTTTTTTCTAGAGAAGTCAAAAGCTCAAGAGTAGGCGGTCCGCAGGGGAATAGCTCCCCATGTCCCTACAGGCGCTGTTCCGCAATGGAGGCATATCAGACGGTCAACCGAAGCGGGGAGAGGTCCCAGGGGACTCTGAAAGGGATTCTCCCCAGAAAAGGTTGAAAGGTGGAGTTGTTCCCCAGGCCAAGAACAATTCATAGTGGAGGAGAAACTCCCCGCCAGGCTGGAGGCTGCGGAGGCATATCGGAGGACAGTCTGCAGAACTCTCCTGAGGGAATGCACTGCAGTTTCTTTGCAGGCTCGGTTTTTCGGGCTAGTTAGGGTAAGTCCCTCCCTTCCCCCAGCTCTCAGCACCGATGGCAGGTCGCCCGAAGTGAGGAGAAGCTCCCGCGAGGTCTGATAGCGGTCCCTCCAGATTGTGTCAACTCATACCAAAGTGTGAGAACAGGAGATCTCTACGATAGAGACGGTGAACCTGGCCCAAGCAGCTGAGGCAACTCACAGCCAGATTGCGGTGGAGTAACTACTCCCTGCCCTACAGATCGCGGAGACACTCCCGAGGCAAACTTAGTCGAAACCCCTCTCTTTCTGAAAGAAAGCAGACCAAGAGGCTCTAACGCGCTGAGCAGCTGTGGAGACACTTCGGCCACTCTTGTTTTTGTGAGAGCCTATCGCACGAGCTTCATTCTTAATAACTGCAATCTTGTTGCAAACAATTGAGTCATTTGAGGTGTGCAGCCCTGAAGACCGGGGCAAAGGCAGGCGCTGCGCTTAAGTGCGGCCTGCATCACAGAGTTTGCAACGTCGATGGACGATCGTCGTTCTTCAACTTTAGGAACTTTAGGGGCTGCAGTTGACTGCACTCCACTACTGTGCTGAGGGACGAGGAGGGCAGTCTGCTGGCCAGGTTCAACATACGGCCAGCAGCGCAGTTGGCTACGGAACTCAGGCAGAAGCTTCCCGAAGGAGATACCCCTCGTAACAGCACCGGCAGCCAAGCATGGGAGCCAAAGCCGAAGTCCTCACTTAGCAAAAGAAGGTCAGTCGCCAAAGCGAGGAAAAGTTTCACACCGACTCGAGACGTTCCTCGCTGCCAGTGAATGAACGTTGTCGTTGTTGTTCTTGTTGTTCAATGTTACTAGTGTTCTTGTTATTGTTCTTGTCGTCGTTGTGGTTGTTGTCGTTGTCTCTGTGCTGTCGTTGCGGTTGTTGCGGTTATTGTGGTTGTTGTGGTGGTTGCTGTAGTTGCTGCTGTCGCTGCTGCTGCTGTTGCGGCTGTTGTTGTGCCGCTCAGCCTGTACATGTACAACACCGACAGCCGATTTCATCGGGTTTTACTTAGAACAGTGTTTCATGTGCTCCATGTGCCGAATGCATCGGTGCCGTCGGTATTTTCTGCGCTCGCAATTCCACGACTTCCTGCACGGTCTTCGCATGTGCCGGAAACATTTGAGGACGTATCGAGAAGCAATCCTTTGCCTCAGTTCGTTGGCTGTTCTGGTGTTTCGGGATGTTTCGAGAGCTAATCCTACGCTGAATCAGTTTGTCGGCTGTTGATTTCAGCTACCACTACCGCTACGATTACCGCCGCATACTAGGACTAGCAGTAATTGGTACCAGCACTACCACCACGACTACGCGACCCCAACAACAATAACAGCAACAACAACAACAACAAAACCAACACCACCACCGCCACCACCGCC